CAGACGGTGTGTCTTGATTGGCGTTACATTTTGTACATCCCGACAGACGGTGTGTCTTGATTGGCGTTACATTTTATACATACCGACAGACGGTGTGTCTTGATTGGCGTTACATTTTATACATCCCGACAGACAGTGTGTCTTGATTGGCGTTACATTTTATACACCCCGACAGACGGTGTGTCTTGATTGGCGTTACATTTTATACATCCCGACAGACGGTGTGTCTTGATTGGAGTTACATTTTATACATCCCGACAGACGGTGTGTCTTGATTGGCGTTACATTTTGTACATCCCGACAGACGGTGTGTCTTGATTGGCGTTACATTTTATACATCCCGACAGACGGTGTGTCTTGATTGACGTTACATTTTATACATACCGACAGACGGTGTGTCTTGATTGACGTTACATTTTGTACATCCCGACAGACGGTGTGTCTTGATTGGCGTTACATTTTATACATACCGACAGACGGTCTGTCTTGATTGGCGTTACATTTTATACATCCCGACAGACGGTGTGTCTTGATTGGCGTTACATTTTATACATCCCGACAGACAGTGTGTCTTGATTGGCGTTACATTTTATACATCCCGACAGACGGTGTGTCTTGATTGGCGTTACATTTTATACATCCCGACAGACGGTGTGTCTTGATTGTCGTTACATTTTATACATCCCGACAGACGGTGTGTCTTGATTGACGTTACATTTTGTACACCCCGACAGACGGTGTGTCTTGATTGGCGTTACATTTTGTACATCCCGACAGACGGTGTGTCTTGATTGACAGAATATTGTATACAGATACAGATTTATTCAAATATTTTCATAGAAGTAAACTAATATTATATTTAAGATTTTAATCACATAAAATGCATTCCAAGACACAAAACGACAACCTTGTGAAAGTGGGGTTTTGATCAACTCTGTCCGTTTTTATCTCGCCTACAATGTGGGTCATAGGGCAACTACATGTTTATGTGGTCTATCATTGTAAAGTATACATTGCAGTGTTCGCCTTGCATTGATATAAAGATATTGAGATGTGGTATGATTACTAATGAGACAATAAGACACCAAAGGGTGAGGATGTTAACAACTATAGGTCACCGTACTGCCTTCTACAATGAGCAAACCCCAATTGGTCAATTCTTCTTCACATCTTTGTTTATGCCAAACAAGAAAAGGGTCGATTTGCATATTCTAATCAACGAAACTAAAGGTTGCCTTTATTCTGTTTATGGAATTGAAAATCCACCTAAAATTGCTTTTGACTGTAGACCTATTATTATTACCTGCAAATAAGAAAATGCGTCATCTATGTTCTTAAACATGCATATTTGCATTCTTAAAATTTAAATTCTGGAAATTTACAAAACTATCGTGTGAAAGGTTATTCCAAGAATCATAATACAAAACTATATTAAATTAACACAAACAAGTGGCCAACGGATATTTATCTAAATAGTATTGACCATTTTGCAAAAAGCATTTCCAAATGCCAAATCCTTTTTTACTATATCTTAATACTAAAGTAATATTGTTATCACCAAATATTGTTATCACCCAATTGAAGGTCAAAAACCGTTGTTTATTCTTTAGAGTCCGAGTTTTAATTAGTGTCTATACTGAAAGAAATTGTCCGAAATATGTCCTTGAAGGTTAATTTCCAAAGAATGTTTCTGATTTGACATTTCAGCCAGTTTACACTATGTTTCATAATAGAATGTTTAAAGTTTTAGGCCTCACAGTACTCAAAATATCCCATCCCTGGTTCACGTAACTTAATTGTGTTTATTTTAAGATATTCGCCGCTATTTTTCTCAAGATTTTGCTTGAATATATACTAGTCAACAAAAGAGACGATACAAGGTAATGTGTTTTCCATATATAATGAAATTGGATGCACTGTACCCAGGCAAATAATTGCTTAATTGGTCTTATATTTACAGATTGTTATTTTCTTATCAAAACCATTGATTTTAAACAAATACGCGTTTTTTTTTTGGTTTTTTTTGTTTTTGTATTTTTTGTTATTTCAAAAATCGTACTTTCACATAAAAATTCAAAAATCGATATTAGAACTTAAAACTTAAAACTTAAACATGGTCTGCTTACAATTTTGAATGCTATTGCAGATGTTTGAATACTTGATTCTCATCTTTGAAATTAATTGCTGACTTTTGTCATCATTTTCCGCAAAATAAATTTGACCCCTGTGTTCAATAACACGGTATTTTCTCGCTCTCCAATTTGGTCAAATTCTTTTAATCATATGCATTTGCTTGGCAAATGAATGCTTTTCATGGGATAATTTAACAATTTTTCCTATGTATTATATTTTATGATAAATTGGAGTTCAAACTTGTGTATCGTTACTTTTGTTGACTAGTATACTATTATTTATTCAAGCAGCTGACACGGGCACATCTAATTTCGTAGAATTTCTTGAAATTAACTGATACGAGATTAAACAATGTACACCTTAAGAACACCACTTCATTTTTTCCATTCTTCCGAGGTTTTTCTTGGTCATGGCAGAAAGCAGCTGAAATGTGAGCCCCATAATCAGCAGGCGATTTCTTGTTATATGATGATACGGGTAATATTTGTATTTTTATTTAAGACGGATCCAATACTAATCCCACTGAGTACTATATTCAGTCTGATTCTATTAATTGTAATGAACCTATGACATTGCATAAATATTTCTTAAACGACAAGCTTTTTCTAAAAGCTAAAGTAAATGCATGTACGGTCAATAACCTCAATTATTTTACATGGAGATGTCAAACAAATAGTTCATTCATTTGAACGATCGAAAATTGTAGATAGTGATGCATGAAAAGCATAATCGACACTTTACCTTTTCTTCATCCTTACAGAGAATATGGATATGCAGTCAAAATAGTCTAATTAAGACCATTACATAGGTGAACAATGTGAAGGTAATGGGGTTAATAAACTTTCATTGAATCCGTCTGTTGATCGGTGTTGACATTGTTCTGATAAAATATAGGTTACTTTAGTGTGCTAACTTATAGATTTTAACCACAAACTATTCAGATGAGATAGATATAAACATAAAGATGCAGTTGGATTGTGCGGTAAAGTGTACTATCTTGACTGGAATGGACTGTGCTCTAGGACTAGACTGGACCGGTCGGACTGAACTCTCACATACTTATTTATTAAATAACATTCACTTATTTTTTATGTGTTTATTACGACTTTACTTTATGATGTTTTATTCAATAATATTATTTGAATTTATAATCTGCCTGTCAAAGATTGTATTGATGACATTCGACCTCCTGAATAGATGTTTTTATCTATTAAGTTACAGATTGGAATGTCAGCATCAATTTTATTATATGAGGCAGACTCAAGGACAGATAAAGTATCCTGTTTTGACTGTGTGTAATACATTTATCTGCTTGTTCTATTTCATTTTCGAAATTTATTATTGTGTATTTTGTTTCGCATATAAAATCTGACCCTGTCTTCAAATATTGTATGAATATTTTTTTTGACCACAGATGTGGTATATGAAGGTCTTATCCATACCATACTAACAAGTTAAAGGTGTGTGAATGTCCAGACCAGAAAAACAAGAAAGAATATAAATTGGTTTCGAAAATAACTTTTAATCAAAATTTAAAATGAGTTCAGTATAAGGATAAGAAAAAAAAAACATTTTAGAAAAAAAACCAACTTTCAATCATTTTTTTATATCCTTTGTCTAAGTAGTTCTTGGGATATTCGAGTTTGTTTACTGCTTATTTCTTTCTTCTGTCCATATATTCCACAGAGTTATGGACCATTTTGTATGGTTCTTGGTATACATAATGCATTGAAAATACTTGAAATAAAAGTGTTAATCGTGGTGTTAAAGTCATATGAAACGAGTTTCAAAAATAATTATTGAACCAATGCATGCATTGTGCCATAATGAAGTGAACTGTGACTTTTGTCCGGATATGTGGTACATATACAGTGCGTAATATACTTTGCGCAAAATTAATTAAGGATCACTTCCATATGAAATAATGTAATTGCATACTGTTATCACCCGAACAATAATAAATACAATTTGTATCGATTCAAAAGTTGTCAAGGTATTCTATTGATCTTCTGAACAATTTTTTGTCGGAAAAAAACAATGATCAGAATTTTCAAGTTTAAAGTATCCAAAAAATGATTTCATTAACTTCATTGACTTGATTTTGACATATTTTTTTATCCCTATACCGGAATTAAGCAAATGTGATGAATGCGACCCTTTTGTTCAAATGTCTAATTTCTTATTTGGAAAATTCACCTTTTGTTATCAGAATCAGCCTTACATCAGAACATATTCACGGCAGGTTTTTGGTGGAAAAAAAACCAGATAGTAAACATCTGCGTTTTCCATAAAAGGACAATAATTCATAGACTTTTCAAACGAGTTAAAGATTATTCTCATCAATCAGAGATTGAAATCTTTTAAAAAATAAACTCCTTCATATTAGTTTTAAAAAACAGTATACTTGCAGTGGCACAAACTTTGTCTCCCGCATTTCGATGAAAAAACTAGACTTTCGCCATCTCACATTTATTACAACGTTTCAGGTCGTTATTTAACATACGAATGCTGATAATAAAATGAACACAAAAATTCATAGTTCAGTGTACTTCTGGTTCTTTGTCAAGGTCATTAGACTATCGATCAAACGGTTGGGAGAATTTGAAGTATTCAGAATTCTTCAAGATGACACCTAGCTTTTGATTACAAATTTTTACCGTTACTTTATCGTTTTCGAATAATACCTAAATCGATTACCCTGTAAGAATTTAAAGTTTGCCTTTATCTGCAAGCTACCGTTAATGCTAAAAGGTTAATGTCTCACAATGTAAAACGCAATGACCAATCAAATGTATTTCACTGATTTTAATCCCACCCACTTACTACAATGTATATAAAGCAACTGTCGGCCTACTTATTAATTATTTCATACGTATCACTTCGAAGAATCTGAACACGTTGGATTTAACACGTATTTAAAATAAGGATATACCAATACTTTATAAACATTTTATTGCATTTGGAAGCAATAGTTTTTGTGAAGATGACTTTCCTTGAAAATTTTGGAATAGATATGGATGCTCAAAGGTAAATATATGTTTTGCATCAATTTCTTTTACAGCTAAACAGTTATACAATTTATTTCGTAACCATATGTTGTCCCACATTTTAAAACACATTTGTTGCATAGAAAGGTTAAATATATTTGCAAACATGATATAAGTCTTCACGAATTTGTTTTTGACTTGCAAGCCGTTTCAATAAGATTAGCCACATTTTAAAACACATTTGTTGCATAGAAAGGTTAAATATATTTGCAAACATGATATAAGTCTTCACGAATTTGTTTTTGACTGGCAAGCCGTTTCAATAAGATTAGTACTGTTTCTAAGAATAAAGTGCGGTATCGGCCAATTAACCATTGCAATAACAGTAGCAAAAAGAGTGCACATATTTTATAACGTTATGCAGACGTGATAATGATGTGTAGCAAATGATCTAGAATTTGCAACAGTTTTTGGAAAAAGAGATTGATGAAATTTCATCAGACAAACAAGATCAAAGTCTGCTTTAAACTACTTTGTGACGTCACATCGATGATGAGTACTGCATATTGAATTTCTCAGTAGTAGGTGTTATTGACAAATTAAACTAAATGTAATCCTTTGTATTTCCAGGAATGTAAACAACATCGGAATGGCCCTTAAAACGATTCTGCTGAAGGCTAAAGAAGACGGCAGATTAGTCTGCGGTGTATATGAATGTGCTCAGATACTTCAGGAGTAAGTATATCAATGATGATTTAAGTATTGAAAAGTTCATTTTTTTCAAGCATGAATTTTAACGATTTCTAAATTGGTTTGGAATCCATTTAGCTATTAGAGCAACTGTAAGGTTAAGTTTTGTTCATTTGGATTAAAAAATGGAATAAAAGATGTTGATGAAATCATTTGCATTCACTCCCCAGTCCATTTTCATGTTTTTGAAGCCCACAACCAATTTGATTATTACCTTCTTCACGTGTTGAAATAACACCTGTTGTTGCTGTCAGATTTTGATTTAGTGCCAGGTGAAGTCATGAGGTCAAGTATATGTTTATGTCAATAAAATGTCTATCATTATTATGTTTTGCCTTTTGTCTCATTGACTATACTCCACATCTATTTTATTCATACCAGATCAATTATATCTTCCGTTTGTTTTTTTCAGAATTCCAGAAGACATTGCCTTATGTCTGTTGCCTGAAGTTGTGGACACAGATGATGTGACTGCTAACATACAGCATAAACTAGTGGAAGCTTATTGTTGGGAAAACGAAATAGAAGTTGTTAAAGTAAGTATTCATTGAATAACAAGTTTCATTCAGTTTATAAAGAAGGAAATGTCACAGGAAGTTTTTAACACCAATACTTTTTATATGGTCTAACAAGTTCCTAGCAATGATCAGGAAGGAAGATGTCATTTTCCTACTTAACGCTAATACCAGATCTAACTTTATTTAGATTTAAAGTAGGGGATTTTCTCAATAAAAAAGTCAGTAATTCTTTCATTTTCCTTATTTTAAGCGGAGGCGAAATAGTGCATTGCATTGATTTCACAGGTTATAAGCCTTAATCAAAAGTGTTTGTGTTGCAGGTTGACAACTTCCATAAAGTGGGAAAGATGGTTCGTAATGACAAAACGGAGGAGGATAATAAAGATGTTGGTTGTGTACTAATACAAAACACGAAAACAGACGAGAAAACAGACGAGAGTGCCAATGATTTCATCGATAACTACTACTCTATGTTGGCTAACCAGACACCTGTTGTGGCTTTGCCAGATTGAGTGCTTATCAAATCATCATGTGATTTAGTACCAGGTAAAGTTTATGTTTAGGTCAAAAAGATAAAGCGATATACTTACTATACGAATTTCATGTTGAGCTTGAACAATAATATTTGATATGTACGTATATGATAAGTGTTCGATTTCTTGATCGATCAACAAGCTTTTTATTCAAAAACTGAAACTATTTCCTGTAAAGTAGTGGGTTAATACCCAGTATTCTTTCTATTGGCTAATTTTACATTGATAAGAACGTAACTAAAAACTCTTCCTAGTGTTGATCGTAAAGGAATATATTCTAATATCATAATCCTTTTTTATTTTTACAGGAAACCAAAACCTGGAAGTTAACCTAAACTGATAAAACCATCATGGAACAAGTCAAAGGTCAAAATGAAGCAACGAGATCTCAACAGGACTTGCTGATTATCATGCAGAACACAGAAGCATGCGACGCAAATTAGAACCCTGTACAATGTTGCTCAATCCAAATTTGAGATCCTTTATTCTTCCTGTCTTCAATCATGAACTTTGCATTTCTTTTTATTCATGGAAAGTAGTAGAAAGTTTGGACGAGTGACATATGAAGTTGCTCTTGTGTGTTAGTTCGGACATTTATAGAACATTAGTTCAAAAATAGACATTGGATTTTTAGTTCACATGTTATATGTCATAGTCATGTGTTCATAGAAATATAATAAATTTTAAAAAAAGAATTTTGTATTTTTTATCCTTCACGTGTAAACATTGTTAAACACGGGCATACTTTATTTTATCTTTCAATAATAATGAAAAGTATGCCATAATGGGGTAGATGTAAATTATGGAATATTGCATTTAGTTATGACACACAAATAAGAGGGTTTCTCTTAATTTGACATCACAGAACAAGTTTATATCCATCCCAATTATATATATATATATATATGGAGATGTGGTATAATTGCCAATGAGAAAACTATCCACCAGAGTTCAAATGAAGTGGATTTAAGCAATTATAGACAACCGTACGGCCTTCAACAATGAGAACAACCCATACCGTATAGTCGGCTATAAAATGCCGCGAGATGAAAAACATGAAACAGTTCAATTAAAAAAATTAACGGCATAATTTATAACAAAACAATTTACGAAAAAACAAATATGAGAGACATGAACCAACGACAACCACTGAAATACAGGCTCCATACTTTGGACAGCCATCTTGACCATTGTAATACACAGCACTCAGTTAAAACCAAAACATCTGTAATTAATATAATGAATGTACAAAAAATAGTAAATTTTACATTTTCATGAAGAATTTCTACAAATACCTGCTAGTTTTAAAGAAAAATTTCCCATTTTATAATAATATACAACTGATTTTATGCATATTCCGGACGAGAACAAAAAGAGTTGTTGGATTGTTTAACGTGAAGAGAGGGTTGGACTCTCCATGCACACGTGAAGAGAGGGTTGGACTCTCCATACACACGTGAAGAGAGGGTTGGACTCTCCATACACAGTGAAGAGAGGGTTGGACTCTCCATACACAAGGAATCAAATTTAACGTCCTCATTTCAACCGAACAATTGCTAAAAATACATGCTATCCATTAAGTGTATTTCTCTGAACTAGTATACATTATTATTTAGGGACCAGCTGAAGCCCGCCTCACGGTGCGAGACTTTCTCTCTGCATTGAAGACCCATTGGTGGCCTTGGGCTGTTTTGGTTTTTTTTTGCTCTTTGATCGGGTTGTTGTCTCTTTGACGCATTCCCTGTTTTCATTCTCTAATCTATCAATTCTTACACATGTCAAGCTAATAAAATGGGTCAAATGAATTCGTCGACCTATTAGAAATGTGTTTAATGAACTTGTCGGTCAGTAACATGCTTATGATAATATTCATGAGGTTGAGCATCTCGACAGAGACAGCATGTTGGTATCAAACATCTTTTTATTTCGATCGTGAGAAAAGCTTTTAATACCGACCTGTTATTGTAATAAAGTGCAACATTTAAAATGTTGCCAAACAAACTTCGTAATATGTTTGTTTTCCTGGTCATAAAATCGTTAAGTGTAGATGTTAGATAATCTATTCCAATTGTTTGCAGCGAAACGCAGTCCCTTCCTGGTTCTTGATATATGCCGGAACACACTCCATGTCTGATTGGATTAGCTGAAATCAGGATAAGTAAAAACAAAATGTTGACATATGGTTTTACCCCGGGGATGTTTATCTCTTTATGATTTTCACTCTACCGTTCATTTACGGATTAAAAAGTATATGTTCAAATATAATCCTTGTTGACGGTCATTAATGTAGATAAAAACGATAACATGTTTAAATCCATAACTGTATCTCTACTAGAGAGACCATATTAATACTGACGAAGGTTTTAAAAGTGCTGCTTATATGTTTCTCGTGTCCAGGAAATGTTGTTTTAAAAGGTAACTAATAACATCAAATATCCTTGAAGGTAATCAAAATACAATGTATGTGTAGAATGTCTCACATTAATGAGAACAGTGACATTACCATTTCTTCAATAGGTCGTTGAACTCTGGAGCACTGATCGATATGACAACAGCAAGTACAATGTGATTTCCGCGAGGCTCTGTTGCTGAGCTACTTTAGATTGTCGCGTGAAGAAGAAAACACAACTAGCATGTGAAAACATATTTTGCTCCCCCGTGTAGAATTACTAGAAACTGTTTTTAAATAATAGTTGTACAAATTTGGTGTTCACAACAGTAAAAAAAACATATGGAGATATGGTATGATTGCCGACGAGACAACTATTCACCAGAGATATAAACAACTAAAGGTCACCGTACGATCTACCTTCCACAATGCTACCAACGACAACTCAAGGTCACCGTACGATCTACCTTCCACAATGCTACCAACGACAACTAAAGGTCACCGTACGACCTACCTTCCACAATGCTACCAACGACAACTAAAGGTCACCGAACGACCTACCTTCTACAATGCTACAAACGACAACTAAAGGTCACCGTACGACCTACCTTCTACAATGCTACCAACGACAACTAAAAGTCACCGTACGACCTACCTTCTACAATGCTACCAACGACAACTGAAGGTCACCGTACGACCTACCTTCCACAATGCTACCAACGACAACTAAAGGTCACCGTACGACCTACCTTCTACAATGCTACCAACGACAACCAAAGAATAGCAATAGCCTTGGGACATGCACATACAGAATGTAGCGGTGATAAACATGTTTGCGAGTGCTCTACACTTACTTAACCTAGGACAGTGGTGTAAGAGCAAACCACAAGAACACTTTCGAATTCATTTTAGAAGGACTTTATTCATCAGATCCAAAAAGAAAACAACAACTTACAAAAAGACAAAGCTCAAAGTACTGACCTAAGTACTAGCACTTATTGAAAGCTAGTTCAAAGCCAAATTCAACTAATGAATAAATCTAAGTTTTCCCAGGCTTAAATCTTAAATATCAACTAGTAACATCCAACAAAATTAGCACAAAGACGTCATAAACAGTCTGAGAAAAGCATGACCTTGTGCAATGCCAAAATATAAGAATTGACAGGATGTAGGACCATATGTGTTCATAACTGTATATCAATCACGATAGCAATACATATTTAGTTATGTCATAAGTTATCAATAATAAGATCAATGCAAGTATACGTATACCGATAAAGACAAATATCTTACTGCAGTGTTAAATCCTTGACACAGATTGACGACTTCACACTTGAACCTTTGACAAAAGTAATGACTTCAACTATCCAATTGTTAACTTCCCATTTCTCAGCAGTAACATACCATATGTCTTATCTCAATTGATACGTTAGGCTCGTGCATGATCACAAACATTTGCAGGAGTGTGAATCTTACTCAAGAACTGAATGACTGAAATCGACACTACACAAGTTTTACTGTCAGCATAAAAAAAATGATTGACTAATTCGATATGTCTGTGTCTCAACTTGGCGACATGTATTCGCAGTCTGATATATCAAGATACCAGAACAGTCGTCTAATCTGTATCGATTGTATCATATTCCTGATTGTAGCATTTTGACTGAGTGATTCGCATGGCGGGTGATGCATGCATAGCAAGAGACGATTACCCTGTCGATGCACTTGGTCTCGCTCCTTTATGATTCCCTCAGTATAAGTACAGCCATACTTCAAACTAAATCTTTGTATCTATGAAAGAGTAAAGTAAATGTTTTAATTAATTTGCGGTAACGAAATCCGAGAACAAATAATTACTATAGTTATACAGCTATATTTTACAAAGGTTAAACGATATAAAAATCAAAAGATGTGGTATGATTGTCAATGAGACAACTATCCAACAGAGTTTAAATGAAGTGGGTATAAGCAATTATAGGCCACCGTACGTCCTTCAACAATGAGAAAAACCCATATCGTATGGTCTGCCATTAAAGGCCCCGACATGAAAAATGTGAAATAATTCAAACGGGAAAACCAAAGGCCTAATTTATAACAAAAAAATATTACGAAAAACAAGAAAGACAGACATGAACCAACGATAATCACTGAACTATAGGCTCCTGACTTGGGACAGACACATAAAGAATGTGGTGGGGTTAAACATGTTTGTGAGCGCTCAACCCTCTCCCAAAATAACATCGGAATATGTTAAAGAAATAAACAGCAATGGGAATTTCGGGGTGATAACAAGGCCGAAATGGAAAAGGACATGTTATAATTTACCTGACTTACCCGAGAGACTCATAGGTAGTTTAGGTCGTTTACCACTCCGCAGGGTGATAAACACGATAAAAACACAGTGTATTTCACGCCGATGACGTCTACTACTGCTTCTTCTACTACGTGTGGCAAACGACCTTTAATCATTGGTCTCGATCGATATTCTTTCATCAGTCTCCCATGCTGATGATGTACTTCTCCAACTGCTACTACGGGGTGGTAAAAATTACCCATGGGTCCAACCTTTCCTTCGTTACCTTTTAATAATATATACACTGTTTTTTTTACTCCAATGACATACTACTACGGGTTGGTAAACTAACTTGACTACCCATGAGTTCACCATTTTCTCCACCCATCTTTCACAATAGAAACAAATGTTGTTTCACTCCGATGACGCACTACTATACTACGGAGTGGTAAAAGACCTTGACTACCCATGAGTCTCTCTGGTAAGTATCTGGTAAATTATAACATGTCCTTTTCCATTTCGGCCATGTAATCATCCCGAGATTCCCAAGGCTGTTTATTTCTTTAACAATGTTGCTTGATAAAAGAGACAGATATAACCGATAGAAATAGGACTAGGACAAATCTGCGGATATTACATATACAAAACCTTATGTTTGCGTAAAAAATATGTGTTAACTGTAGTTATACAGATGATTGAAAGTAGGTTCTGGATGTTCAAACTTCAAAACTGTTTACATGACTGTAAACATAACCAAGTTTAATATAGTCGTCAATATTGAAGGCGCTCGATTGACTATTATATGTTTGATTTTCATCGAGAAATATTACAGGAATGTTTGTGGTGAGCACAATTGCATCGTTAAGTCATCATCTGTAGTATTGGAATTTGGGTACCACTTGACAGTTGGGAAATGAGGATATTTTTTGAGTGCCTGTCCCAATCTAGGAGCCTGTAATTGTTGTTGTTGTTTACCATCTACCATGCTTGTTTTTCGTTTATTGTGTTTTTTT